CTTGCAGGGAGATCCCAGGAGCCGTGTCTAGCTCGTCCAGGCGCTGCTGCCGCTGGAGGCTTAAAAGAAGAAAAACGAAAAAAGTGCAAAAGTAAAAAGAACATAAGTCTACTCCACTGCCATCTTGTAAAAATGAATTATGAAGAGCAACAGGGATAATCTTGGAAATTACGGGCGAGTGAGCTTTACATCAGTGGCAGGGAATTTATTGGACAAGATTCTGAGGGACAGGAATTACTCACTTTTGGTAGAACATAGACTTATTAGCAATAAGCAGCATGGATTTTTGTGGAAGAGGTTGTGTCTCACAAACTTGATTGAGTTTTTTGAACTGACAAAGATGATTGATGATGGCAGGGCAGTAGAAGTTGTCTATACTGACTTTAACAAGGCCTTTGATAATGTCCTTCTTGGCAAGCAGATTCAAAAGGTGAAGTCACATAGGATCCGCAGTGATCTGGTAAGGTGGATACAGACCTGGTTTAGTCATTGAAGACAGAGAATAGTGGTGGGTGTTTTTCTCACTGGAGACCTGTGACCAGTGGTGTTCCACAGGAATCAGTGCTGGGACCCCTGTTGTTTTTAATATATATCAATTATTTGAGGGGAATGTAGGTGGCCTAATTCATATGTTTGCAGACGACAATGGCAGATGGAGTTTAATCTGGACAAACGCGAGTTGATGCATTTTGGAAGACCTAAGCGGGAGGGAAATATAGATTAAATGGCAGAACCCTTAATAGCATCAACATAAAAAGGAAGCTCGACGTACAGATCCACGGTTCGCTGAAAGTGACAATACAATAAAACGGTCAGGAAGGTATTTGGCATGCTTGCCTTCATTGGTTGGGGTATAGGGTATAAAAAATTGGCTTGTGATATTGCAGCTGTATCGAACAGTCAGGTCACATTTGGAGTATTGTGTACAGTTCTGGTCGCTGCACCACCAGAACGATGTGGAGGCTTTGGAGAGGGTATAGAAATGGTTTACCAAAATGTTGCCTGGTTTGGAGGCTATTAGTGATGAAGAGTGATTGGACAAATTTGATTTGTTTTCATTTGAACATTGAAGAATGAGGGGTGACTTCATAGAAGTTTAAAAAATGTTGAGAGACATGGATAGAATGGATAGTCAGAGTCTTTTTCCCAGGGTAGAATTGTCAATTACTTAGAGACTCAAGTTTAAGATAAAAGCGGGAGAGTTTAAAGGCTATGTGAGAGGCACAGAAGGTGTTAAGTGCCTCGAATGTGCTGCCAGGGGAGGTGGTGGAGGCAGATACAATAACAATGTTTAAGAGTCACCTTGACAGATACGTGAATAGGCAGGGAATAGAAGGATATGGACCGCGTAGAGGCAAAAGGTTTTAGTTTAGAAAGGCATTGTGTCAGCACAGTCTTACTGCTCTTTGTGCTTTGTTCTCTTTGGTCTTGAAACCTACCTTTCAATTATCTGACACATTTGATGTTTTTGCAGCATGTGGATGAGAACAAGGACTGCAGGAGTTTGAGCAAACAGGCCATTGGACCACGGTGTAGGGAACCATTCACACTGGGGGTATTAGTAGGAATGGTAGGGGACAGTCAATAGGGAAGTAGATACAGTTCACTGCAGCCAAAGGCATGAGTCCCATAAAGTCATGCTCACTACCCAGTACTAAGATAAAAGCATGCCTGGTTAGCTCAGTCAGGAGAAATTGACATTTTATTTTGGAGCAGGTTGGAGCAGCCAAATGGTTTACTCTTGCTCTTAATTTCCATCTCCTCCAGCTGGAAGGGAACGTGGAGTGTCAAGGTAAGAGAAATTTGTTGTGATGTACATACGTTAGAGGTAGAACTAAGAAAGATTCTGCTGAAGGAGTATGAGCATTTACTGCTACATTGAAAATCAGAACCTCAAAGTAATAAACTGATTAATTCGGTAATACAACCTGAGCAATGAATGAACTCAGACATACAGCACAGAAAAGGTCCTTCGGCCCACTATCTATGCTAACCAACAAATCCCAAAATATACTGATCCCTTTTACCTGCACTTGATCTATATGGCCTAGCGTTTTAAGTGCTCATCCAGTTGCTTCTTAAAGCTGTGAGAGTACCTTCCTCCACTGTACTCTTAGGCAGTGTGTTCCATATTTCTACCATCCTCTGGATGAAAAAAAATTTCCTTGGACTCCCTCTGAACCACTTACTCCACACCTTAAACTTATGCCCTCTGGTCTTAGACATGTCAACAGTGGGGAAGAGATTTTCATGATCTCCTGTCTATGCTTCTCATAATTTTGTATACACCAATCTGCCTGCTCTGCTCCAAGGAAAACCAACCCAGCCTATCGAGTCTCTCCTCATAACTGAGACTTCTAATCCCAGGCAACATCCTGGTGAATGTCCTCTGTACCCTATCCAGCACAATGACGACCTTCTGATGGTGTGGCAACCAGAACTGCACACAGTATTCCATCTGTGGCCAAACAAAGGTTTTATAAAGTTGTAACAAGATCTCCTTGCTCCTTTATGTCCGTCCTGGCTACTGAGGCAAGCATTTCATATGCCATCTTCACCATCCTGTCTATCTGTGCTGACACCTTCAGGATTCTATTGGCCTGTACACCCCAATACTCCCTAGGGATCTGCCAGAGTCTAAATCTTCCCCTTATTAAATCTTTGAAAATGCATCACCTCACACTTATTAAGAGTAAGTTTCATCTACCATTGCTCTATTCAATTTACCAGCTAATCAATATCAGACTGCAGCCTGAGACCATCCTCATCACTATCAACAACACCACCAATTTTCATGTCATCTGCAAACTTACTAATTATATCTTCTACCTTCACATCCAAGTCATTAATGTACATAACAAACTGCAAGGGTTCCAGCACCGATATTCCGGGTATTCAAACCTGCTCTCTCATTCATTACAATCATGGCTAATTATCCAACTCAATAGCAGGTTCCTGCTTTTCCTTCAAGGATATAGTTCATAGAGTTGATAAGGTGGAACTAAAATGAGAACTACAGACTATAACGCATGTTCACATCTGACAGGGGAATGAGTTCATGCCTGGCATCCTATCTTTTAATGGATAAAGTTCCAATACCCATGTTGGTTAGGGTAACAAGAGCATTTGAATGTCAAGGCAACTGAATGAATAAATGACCATCCCTCAGCACCTGCCCCTTTCCAGCCCACTTTCTATCCCCCTGTGGCCATTTCACCCCAACACCAGCCCTTGCAGTGTGTTCACCACACCTCCTGACCTTCCCCTCTCTGAGGCTGAATGTACTATACTCAACAAAGGACTCAGTTTCATACCCTTATGCCCCCACCTTAATGAATTTCGGGTCCATCATGAACAGTTTTTCTGCTGACATTGTCTCTGTGCTCACTTCTCCAGGCAGGCCTCCCCCCTGTCCCCTACCCTCCACCCTCCTTGTTCCACTTATCCCTTCACCCATCTCCAATATTCACCCTCCATTCAAAGGATCATTATCCACCATTTCAGACAACTCCAGCAGAACCCTGAACGGGTTTCTGCTGTGTGATCCAGTTTCCTCCCACAGTCCAAAGATGTGCAAGCTAGGTGGATTACCCATAGCGTTCAGGGATGTGCAGGCTAGGTGGGTTAGCCATAGGAAATGCAGAATTACAAGGGAAAGGGAGGGGGATGAGTGTGGGTGAGAAGCTCTTCGGAGGGTTGGTGTGGACCTGTTGGGCTGAATGGCCTGTTTCCACACTGCAGGGATTCTACGATTCTATGAGATGTTGTTCATCCAGTTTGTGCTGTGATTCACTGGAACACTGCAGCATGCCTAGGACAGACATGTGGGCATGTGAGCAGGACACTGTGCTAAAATGACCAGCTATGGGAAGGTTAGGGTCCTGCTTGCCCACAGAGCAGAGTCACCCAGTCAGTCAGTGTCTGGTTTCTCCAATGTAGAATGGCCCACATTGGGTGCAGCAAATACAATCCATAAGATTGGAGGAGGTACAAGTGAAACGCTGCTTCTTTGCCCTTGGTGAACAGGGAGGAGGTGAAGGGCATATGTTGCACCTTCTGGAGTTATATGGGAAGGTGGTTTGGGGAGGCGGGGGTGGTTTTGGTGGTTGTGGAATGGACTAGGCTGTCCTAGAAGGAGTGATCACTGCGAAATACAGATGGGGGTGTAAGGGGAAGATGTGGCGTTCTGCTGGAGAATGTGCAAACTCCATACAGACAGTTGCCCGAAGGTGGAATTGAACTTGGGTTCCTGGTGCTGTGAGGCAGCAGTGCTAACCACTGAGTCACCGTGCTGCCCTCATCTCATCTTCAGATTTGGCACTTTACAGCCTTCTGCACTTAATATTTATTGAGTTCAAGACCTTCAAATTGTGAACCAATTCCCATTTCTTCCCTGTTGTTTAGCTTGTTATATTCTGTATTCATGTCCTCTCTCCCCTTCCCCACCCTTTCAAGTCCGACAGTTAGACACACCATTGTTCTGCATTCTCACATTCCTATCACTTAATTTGAACTATCAACTATGCTGTCTCCTCCACATATCACTTCAGCTCTGATGAAGAGCCATCTAGACTCAAAATATTAGCTTGCTCTCTCTCCATGGATGCTGTCTGACCCACTGTGAACTCCAGCATTTGTGGTTTTCAGTGAATGAATGAATTACTCTGCATTTGGTGCATTACATTGGAGTTCTAGGACAATTAAATATATAATATCAAATATACAGGCATGTGTAAAGCTTTGGTTAGGCATCAACAAGAACGTGTTCTGAATGGCTCCCTCATCTACTGGGATCCCTGTTTCAGACAGAAGATTAGTTGACCAATACTGACTTTGAAGGCTTTTATGTATCACAAGAGGCTGAGGGGTGTCAGGCTTATAACTGTAAACAGTTGAAATGTCTTAATTTTATTTTTGAGATAACAAAAGGATTAAACTTAATAAGACATAGACATTTGTGTATAAGATGTAAAATCCCGAAATGAGATTTAAATCACAAATAATGTTGAAAAAAACTTTATTTGGTACTCCAAAACTGAATATCAAAAGAAAGAATTTAGAAATACAGTATCTTTCAACAAGCCAAAGAAAACACAAGTGAATTACTTTTCCAGCTAACTTGGCAAACAGAACTTGCACACAAAGATTTGTGAAAACAGCAATAAGATGAATAATGAATTTTTCAATTGCTGGTGGTGTCAGTTTTTATTTCTAAATAAGAGGACTACTTATATTTGAGTAGTGTCACTGGAATTTTTTGTATTCACTGAACAAAATGTTAGGATCATGCTTAAGGTCTCATTCTTGTGGACAACTTCAATAATGCAATGTCAGCCAAGGCTCAAACAATAAACCTTCGTCTGGGGAAGAGAAGTTCCAACAGTTGAACCACAATGACACTGACTTTACATGGTCACAAGTACAGAGGCACCACTTTTCCCTGCTGCCACTTGAATATACTAATGTGTTGAATCAGTGCGATCACACCACAAAATCACATAATTCAGAGCAAAGCAATAATATGGGATAAGAAAAGAAGCATCATGTCAAGTCTATAGTTTGCAGCATGTACCAACCTTTACTCCCAAAACTACTTCACTTGCCAAATGTATATTCAGCTCCCTCAAATTTATGAGCACAATCACAAAGCTGCAACCAGTCTATTACATTCATTTCAACTGAAATCAATTAAATTCTGACAACACACTATTCTAAGGTAAACTGCACCTTCCATCATCATTGATACTAAAACAGCTTTCAATCAAATTGGCATCAAGGGGTACAGTGTCACTTTCCAAGATACCTTATCTGCACACTTAAATGGAAATTTCCAGCATATACACTTTATCAGAAAATATCACCCTTTCCTTCAAAACATACTGAGATGGAGATATGATAGGCACAGAGAGTAGTATTTCACTATGCACTAAGCTTCACAGCACTAGTTTTGAGGCCTTACAAGCCTGTGCTCCTGTTCAAGTTGTGAGAAGAGAAAGCTCCTCTGCAGAGACAGCCCCCTCTTTATGCTGAGACTGACATGATATGGAAGGTTTGTGCACCAATCAATCAGCAAATTCTGCTGCAAACAGATGCTGCCCTGACAACTGAGTGGCTTTTTAAGTGATACTTTTTGTTAAATGTAAAATTGCCTTTCTTTTTTAGTGGATGAATGCATTTACTCCAGTGTGGTGTTAAGTCACATATTTTGAAGTATAGCTCAGTTTCCAATCTGGGCTGAACTACTTCATCAGAATGGGAACATTTTAGGGACTGAACTAGATTCAGTGTTCTGGGACTGGTAACGGTAACTGATACCATACCAATGGTAACAGGACCCCAATGGGGCCCTGCTCCAATCCCACACACCAGCAGGACCCCATTCCATTATCAAACCCAACGGCTGCCCCGTTCCATCCTCAAACCCAACGGCTGCCCCGCTCCATCCTCAAACCCAACGGCTGCCCCGCTCCATCCTCAAACCCAACGGCTGCCTGCTCCAACCCAACATGAACAGGACCCTGCTCGCACACCAGGAGTTTGCAGCCTTTGTACCACATTGTGTGGAGGTCAGCTGACTTGAGACTAAGCATGTAACACCAAGCAAATTAAAGACATTTCAAATTAACAAACACAAAGTCTTCACACCAAACATCAATCTTGAATGCTGCTGTAAATAAAAACAAAATATTACAAATAATGGAAATCGGAAATAAAAATACATAGTACTGGAAAATGTCAACTGGTCTGTGCAGGGAGGGAAACAGAATTACCATTTTGAGTCCAGAACCTGCAGAATGTCATATTGAACTTGAAGGGCTAACATTGATTTTGCTCTCTCTCTCTCTCCCTCCATAGATGCTGCCAGGCCTTTGTTTTATGTGGAGAGTTGTAGTTCAGGGAAAACTAAAGTATCTCCATTGAATGTCCTGGAAAATTGCTTTAATTCCCAACACTTATGGGAATTGACAAAAAAAGGAAACAAAAAGAAATTAAGTGAAGTTTAACAAGCTTGACTAAACATTCAAACAATTGTAAGCAATCCTTGACTCATATCTTAAAAAACAAAGTGGGACATGACACCCCCGTGTCCGTCTGGCAGAACGCTGGCAGAAGCACATTATATTATTTGGCTACAAATAAATCTTGTCCAACGGTGGATCACTTTACTGCTACTGACACAGCCAGACCACACACTTAAACAATGTGGTGAACTCTCAATGCGATAATGTTAGCCAAATCGCAACTGACTTTCTAAGCCATAAATCTTTGCCTTCAGATTCTTAAGCTCTCCTTGGATATGCCTTGACTGGCTGACTGTTCGACGCACCTCATGAAGGATAGCAAGATCCTGGTCAGGCCCGATTCCAAGTGTTACCTGCAGAGAGAAGGTAAAAATACCCATAATATAAACTATAATTCAGCTGAAAAGAATGCTGAGTCAAGGAGAGAGTGGATCAATCATCTGAATAAGAAATGAGAGGGGGTCAGGTCATCAAAATTGCAGAAGCTTAAAATTACTGGGAGAAAAAAAAAATCAGCTTTTCTACTTCTCAAGTGACAGAAAATATGGTGTGATTAGCAAACACATACAGATAACCAATATTGAGATAGCAGAAAATTTAATTCATTATTGGATAGTAACCAAATCTTGCATTTTTCAAATCTACTGTGTTCTGCAGCTTTAGTTTTCCTTCACCTTGCAGTAAAGTTAACTTTTAGGTTTTGATTTTTGTTAAAATTTGAGCAGTAAATTAGAATCACATACCCTCTATAACAGGGACATCAATTCTAACTTGCTGCACTTCTTGTCATAGTCCAAAACTACAACTCTGTGCCCCTTGGCATTCAATGACATTATCACTGAATCTCCTTTAATCAACATCTTGGGGATTACTATTGACGAGATACTGAACTGAGCTAGCTGAAAAAAGATACTGTGGCTAAAGAGGAAGTCAGAGACTAGGAATCTTGCATTAAGTAACTCACCTCTTGTCTTCATCATCTTCAAAGCACAAGCCAGGAGAGTGACGGAATACTCCCCACTTGCCTGGACAAGCATAGCTGCAACAACACTCAAGGAGCTTGATGCTATCCATGCGAAAACAACCCGCATGATTAGCATCATTCACTACCTACAACTTAATCAAGCACTGATGCACAAAGCACATTGGAAATTCACCAAGGCTGCTGAGAGAGCATCTCGCAAACCCATGACCTCTGCCATCTAGAAGGGCAATGGCAGCAGATACATGAGAACATTGTCAGCTGCAAGTTCTTCTTTGGCAACTCATCATCTTAACTTGGAAACAGATTGTTGTTTCCTCATTATCACGAGGTCAAGATCCTGGAACTCCCTCCCTACAGCAGTGAGTGCACCTGCACCAAAAAGACTGCAGTGGATCAAGGAGGCAACTCACCACTTTCTCAATGACAACTAGGGCTGGGCAATACATGCCCACAAAGGCCACCTGCCTGAATGAAATAAATAAAAACATTTATGGGAACAGCCTTGGTCTACTTTATCTACATTAATCATAATCTTGTACGCTTCTTAAATCTCCCCTCAATTCCCTTTGCTACAAGGAGAAAGACCCTAACTTCTCCAATCTACCCCTACAGCTAAAGTCCCTCATCACTAGAAACATTCTAGTAAATCTTCTCTGTATTCTCTAAAGGACTCTTGCATCCTTCCTAAAGTGTGGTGAATAGAATTGGCCTAAACAAAGCTTTATAAAAAATTAACATAATTTTCCTTTCGTACTAAATGCCTCTATTTATGAAGCTCATGATTCTCTACGTTTTGCTAACTACTTTCTCGATACATCATGCCACCTTCAAAGATCTATGCATATTGACTTGCAGGTAGTCTGTCCCTGCATGTGTTACCTTACCTCTCCCGGAACTGCTAAAAGCCATCATTTCAGACTTGTTTCCATTAAATTCCATTTTCCATTTGTCTGTTCGCACACCTTCACTATTTGCAATGATATCATTGGCAGATTTTGAAATTTTAGTCCTTAGTCCAAGTCTTTCATGTATGTTAAAAAATGCAGCGGTCCCAGCACTGACACTCATGGAACTCCATTGTCTACCCTCCCCAGCAGAAGGTCCAGTACTGGAACGAGGTTTGTCCTTGCTTTGGAGGCGGCTTCCAGGTCTTCTAACTGTCCAGCATGGAGGTCAAGTCATGGCATGGAGATCTCATTTCGGCATTATGGAGCGGTTTCAGCCCAGTTTTCCGGTGTATGCTGAACCCAGGAGTCATTAATTGAATTGTGTTGAACTTTTGCTTTCGCTTTCTTATTTAGGACTTCTGTCATTAATTTAGGTGCCATGGTATGGCGACTTACAATACTTTTCACTATTTTTTTTGGAAAAAAATAACAATAAGTTGCTATTCTATTCTCTATCAAGAAATGGTAGGAAGAAGTATCCCAGAAACTGGACGCTGCAAGACAATGACAATATTCGGCAGTAGTACTGAAGATGTGAGTTCCAGAACTCGCCGCTCACCTAGACAAGCTCTTCCAGTACAGCTATAACACAGGCAGCTTTCTGACAATACAGAAAATTGCCAAGCTATGTGCTGTACATAAAAAGAAGGACAAAGGCAACCCTTCCAACTACCGCCTACTCTTGATTGTCATCATCATCAGCAATAATAAACTCAGTGACACCCAGTTTGGGTTCTGCCAAGGCCACGCTGCTCCTGACCTGATCACAGTCAGGATTTAAACATGGCCAAAAGAGCTGAACTCCACAGATGAGGTGAGAGTGACTGCCCTTGACATCAAGGCTGCATTCAACCGAGGGTGACATCAAGGAGCCCGAGCAAAACCACGTTTCAATGGATATCAGGGGATAAACACTCCATTGCTTGAAGTCATATCTGGCACATAGAAACATGGTTGTGATGGCTCAAGGTCAGCCATCTCAGCTCCAGGACATCTCTGCAGGAGTTACTCAGGGTAGTATCCTAGACCCAACCAAATTCAACTGCTTCATCAATGACATTTCCTTCATCATAAGGTCAGAGGTGGGGATGTTCACTTATGATTGTACAATGTTAGCACAATTTGCGACTCCTCCAATGCTGAAGCACTGCATGTTCAAGTGCAACAAGATCTGGTCAATATCCAGGCTTGGGTTGACAAGTGGCAAGTAACAGTCATGCCACACAAATGCCAGGCAATGACCATCACCAATAAGAGACAATCTAACCACCGACCCTTGACATTCAATGGTGTTACCATTACTGAATCCCTGCTACTGACATCCTGGAGGTTACCATCGACCAGAAACTCAATTAGACTCACCAAATGATCAGAGGTCAGAGGCTAGGAATACTGCAGCAAGTAGCTCATACCTAAGCCTGTCTGTCATCTACAAGGCACAAGTCAGGAGTGTGATGGAATACTCTCCACTTGCCTGAATGGTTGCAGTTCCAAAAACACTCAAGAAGCTTGATACAATCCAGGACCATCAACCATGGAGGATTCAAATCCAGATTCCCAGTACTTTAGCTTAGTTTCTGGATTAATAGTCTACCAATAATCTACTAGGCCATCACCTTCCCATAACATAGTACAAAAGAAAAAGCATACAAAGTTGGAATTATATTGGTCCTGACAAACACAAACAACAGTAAAGGATCACAAAACACTGCTCCCTCTGCCTCACGATATCCTACCTCCCACCACCCTACCTTCACCCAGTACTCCAACTATACACACACAGCCACTCTGTCTTGCTGACAGACTGCTTCCTGAATCTTGCACCTTGCCTTTCACCAGTCTCTAAGCTGATTGCTATTTGACTCATGGTTTGTCTCAGCACTTGAAATGAGTACTGTTTTTTCCAAAAATGTCACCTTGTGATTGAATGGGTAAATGCACTGAGTGTTGTTCGAAAGGAGTGAAATTGGTAGTGACTTCAGAGCAGGTCATGGTCAAGTTGTGTCCTGAGGCAAAACAGAAAGATATAATGTAATCCTGGTGATTATTAAATGCTTCAGCTCACCTTGAACAGCTGTCTCTCCACGTCCTTCAGCCGTTGTCGCAGCAGTTTGATGTCATTTTTAAAGCCTTCCACTTCCATCCCTCGTCGCTTCTCTAGGGCCTCATATCGCTGTGTCATTAGTTGAAGACGCTTCACTGTTTTATCAGAACGCTCCTAAAAATCAAAGCAATACACTTTCAGAAGGAAGTTCAGGCCCTCGCATACTAAGCCAGAAAACCTGGAAATGGCAGAACTTTTTGATTCCTTCCTTCTCTGTGCAATGGAAGGTTAAACCAACCACAGTTAGGCCTCCCTGGATATGTTATAATAGGAATATAGAATGTAAACTGTTTTAATATGACATAAGTGTAATAGAGTGAATAGTGTGGGCAATACTGTTTGAAAGAGAGAAAGTGTTGTGCACTTAAGAGGGAAGGAATATGGAAAGAAGTTGACAAGATCTGACAAGATCCAGGATCTGCCTAAGCATGCAAGTCTTTTAGAACAATACCAGACTTATAGACAGCTAAATATTTCTACAACTGACAGATCAGATCAAACAGATTACAGGGCTTGAGCTATAGGGAGAGGCTGAGTGAAGTCATAGAGTAATACAACATGGGAAACAGGCCCTTCAGCCTAAACTGATCCATGCTGACCATGGTGCCCACTTTTGGTCCATATCCCGCTAAACCCATCTCATCCATGAACCTATCCAAATGTATTTTAAATGTTGCTATTGTACCTGCCTCAACCACTTTCTCTGGCAGAGCCTGAGATCAGTGGTAGGCAAGTTATTGGAGAGGATACTGATGGACAGGATCAACCAACATTTGGATAGTCAGCATCTGCGTGAAGAAGGTGCCACTCAGGTCCTTCTTAAATCTATCCCCTCTCACCTTAAACCTACGCCCTCTAGTTTTCAATTCCCCATCCCTGGGGAAAAGACTACATGCATTCATCCTATCTATACCCGTCACAATTTTATACACCTCAATAAGGTCACCCATCATTCTCCTACAGTCCAAGGAATAAAGTCCTATACTGACCAACCTCTGCCGATAACTCAGGCCTCCTAGTCCTGGCAACATCCTTGTAAATCTTCTTTGCACACTTTCCAGTTTAACTATGTCTTTCCTACAACAGGGTGACCAAAGTGTACACAATACTCCCAAGTGCAGGCTCACCAACGACTTATACAACTGTAACACAACGTCCTAATTCCTATACTCAACCCCTCGACCAATGAAGGCCAGCATGCTAAATGCCTTCTTCACCATCCTGTCCACTTGAGATGCCGCTTTCAACGAACTACGAACTTGTACTCCTATCTCCCTCTGTTCCACAACACTCCTCAGGAACTTACCATTTACTGTATAAGTCCTACCTTGGCTTGACTTTCCGAAGTGCAACACCTCACACTTACCTGTATTGAATTGCATTTGCCAATTCTCAGCTCACTTCCCCATCTGATCAAGAACTCTCTGTAATTTTTAATAACCTTCTTCGCTATCAACGATACTTCCTAATTTTGTATCATCCGCAAATTTACTAATTATGCCTTGTACATTCACATCCAGATCATTTATATAAAAGACAAATAACAAAGGTCCCAGCACCAACCCACGTGACACACCACTAGTGACAGGACTCCAGTCTGAGGAACGGCCTTCAACCATCACCCTCTGCTCCCTACCCTCAAGCCAATTTTGAATCCAATTCATTAGCTCTCCTTGGAACTCATGCAACCTAATTTTCTTAACTAGCCTGCCTGTACGCGACCTTGTCAAAAGCGTTACTAAAGTCCATATAGACAACATCCACCGCCCTACCCTCACCAATCCTCTTGGTTAACTCTTCGAAAAACTCTAAAAGATTTGTCAAACATGACTTCCTGCACACAAATCCATGCTGACTATCCAAATGTTGGTTGATCCTGTCCCTCAGTATCCTCTCCAATAACTTGTCTACCACTGATCTCAGGCTCACTGGCCTGTAGTGTCCTGGCTTGTCTTTGCTACCTTTCTTAAACAATGGAATAACATTAGCCAACTTCTAGTCTTCTAGAACTTCTAGAACTGTAGCTAAAGATGAAGCAAAAATCTCTGCAAGGGCCTTTGCAATTTCTTCCCTAGCTTCCCACAACATCAGAGGATGGACTTGATCAGGCCCAGGGATTTATCCACCTTAACATGCTTTAGGGCTGCAAACACCTCCTCCCTGTTAATGTGTATAAGGTCCAAAAAATCCCCATTTGTTTCCCTTATTTACTTAGCATCCATGATTCTCTCCTCACACCTTGACACCAGGTTCTCCCTGACCTGCTGTACAGTTGTGATGGCTGTGGCAATTTCTCCCAGAATTCTGCTGTGATGACTCTTCGTCATCCTCTGATTCGCTGAACAAAGACTTGAAAACAGGACCTTCAAATTAACCACCTGATGCTCTACCCAGTGAGCTATCCAGGCTTAATAGGTTGGGACTTTTATTCCTGGAGCTTCAGACGTTTATAGAGGTTTATAATGTCACGAAGGACATGGATAAGATGAATAGCCAACGTCTTTTTCCCAGGGTGGGGAGTCCAAACTGAACAGCATAAGTTTAGGGTGAGAAGGGTGAGATTTAAAAGGGACCCAAGGGGCACCTTTTTCACACAGAAGGTGATAAATGTATGGAATGTGCTGCCAGAGTTGGTGATGGAGGCGGGTATAATTACAACATTTAAAAGGCATCTGGATGGGTTCAAGACTATGAAGAGTTTAGAGGGAAATGGACTAAATGATGGCAAATGGGACTAGATCAATTTCAGATATCTGGTCGGCGCAGACAAGTCGGACCAAAGGGTCTGTTTCCATGACTCAATCGTTAATGGTGGTGGACAATTAAACAACTCAGTGGAGGAGGTGGTTTCACAAATATCTCCATCATTAATGATGGTTGAGACTCAAATATTTGCAACGATCTTCAGCCAGAACTGCCAAGTGGATGATCCATCTCAGCCTCCTCCAGAGGCTCTTAATTAACAGAGGATTCTGGAGCACATTCATATTGCATTGACACTTGCAGTTTTGATCAAAAGGGCTTGTATCAGCTGTGACCTCTGATCTGTCACTTATTTGGCCTTATTTTGGTCCACTTTTACATTTAAGTTAAGCAGATCTGAATTCTATGGTCATTTAAGTTCAAAAGTGCAACTTTTAAATTCATTGACCATCAGAAGCAATGACAGTCACTTCATAGGGTGATTTAGCAATTCTGAAAGAAAAAACCGGTCTTCAAAAAATTTATTTTGCCAATATCAATGTTGCACAAAATATGCTGGTTTAGCCTTGATGTCCAACTCTTCAGAAACAAATGTCAAACCATGGGAAAGGGTGCAGAAAGGATCCACAAGAATAGTTTTTAGGGATGAAAGACTTCAGTTATGTGGATAGATTGGAGAAGCTGGGGCCACTTTCCTTCAAGAAGGGAAGGCTGAGCGGAGGTTTGATGGAGGTGCTCAAAGTCATGAGTGTTACAGACAGAGTGGGCAGAGAGAAACTGTTCACGTTGGAAGAATTGTGAGCCAGAATAATTCATTTCACACTAATTGGCAAAAGATTCAGCAATTTCAGCAGCATGTGAAAAAATGTTTTCTGTGCAGCAGGTGGTTAGCATGTAGAAAGTATTGCTTGAAAGTATGGTGGGGCCTAATTAAAATTGTGGCTTCCAAAAGGGAATTGGAAAGTACCTGAAGACAGACAATTTGCCAGGCTACATGGAAGTAGCATGGGAGGGGACGGAGTTACGGTTTGGCCAAGCTGGTTTGCTGAAGATTGGCTTGATCTGTGGAGGTAGCCAGGAGGTGTCAGGTGGACAAGTCCTATTTCACTCAACTGGATAGAGGACTGAGGAATGCTCTTACTTTTTGCCAATGCAACACCACCTGTTTAAAAAAAGAAGGGAGGCAGAAGACAAGAATGTGCAGGCCTGCTGGCCTGACTTTGGTCATTGGTAAGATTATGCACTCCATTATTAAGGATGAGACTGTGGAGTGCTTGGTAGTGCATGGTAAAATAGGGCTGAATCACCACTGCTGTGTCATACTGACAAATTTGCTGGTATTCTTTGAGGGTGTAACATGCAGTTTAGATTAAGGAGAGCCAGCGGATGTGATCTATTTGGATTTCGAGAAGGCCTTTGACAAGGTGCCGCACAGGATGCTGTGAAATAAGATAACAGTCCATGGTGTTTGGGGCAATGTACTGGCATACATTGAGGATTGGCTGACTGTCAGAAAACAGAGAGTGAGGATAAAGGAGTCTTTTTCAGGATTACAGCCAATGACAAGCAGAGTTTCACAGGGGTCAGTGTTGGGACCACAACTATTCATGTCATACATTAAAGATCTATTTGGAGGAACTGAGGGCATTGCTGCTAAGTTTGCAGATGACACAAAGAAAGGTGGAGGGACAGGTAGTCTTGAGGAGGTGGGGAAGTTGTAGAAAGACTTGGACAAGTGAGGAGAGTGGGCAAATGAAATAAAATACGGGAAAGTATGAAGTTATGCAATTTGGTAGGAATAGAATGGAATAGAAAAATAGAATTCCAGACTATTTTCTAAATGGAGAAAGGCTTTAGAAATCAGACACATAAAGGGACTTGGGAGTCCTAGTTCAGCATTTTCTTAAGGTTAACGTACAGGTTCAGTTGGCATGAGGGAGGCAAATGAAATGTTAGCATTCATTTGAAGAGGGCTAGAAAACAGGGATAGAAATGTACTTCTGAGGCTGTATAAGGCTGTGGTCAGACTGCTTTGGAATACTGTGAGCAGTTTTGGGTCCTGCATCTAAGAAAGGATGTGTTGGCCTTGGAGCGGGTCCAGAGAAGGTTTACAAGAATGATCCCAGGGATGAAGGGTTTGTCATGTGAGGAGCGGTTGAGGACTCTGGGTCTGCACTCGATGGAGTTTTGAAGGATGAGGTGGGGGATCTGATTGAAATTTATGCAATACTGAGACACCTAGATAGAGTGGACATGCAGAAGATGTCTCCACAAGTAGGAGAGACCAGGACTTGAGGGCACAGCCTTAGAGTGAAGGGACAACCCTTTAGAACTGAAATTAGGGGTCAGTTCTTCAACCAGAGGATGGTCAAGATGTGGAATTTATTTCTGTTAAAGGTTATGGAGACAAG